GCCACATTCGAAATGGCTGAGGTGAAGCTCTCTAGCGGAGAATACAGCATTTTCAATAACACTTCCTCAAGAGCGAAATCCAACGTCTAGGAGGCTTTTGGTGTCATCCTAGATGGAGAAAATAACCAACATCCCACTCTTTTTGAGAAAAATATGCAACGGCGTGTGTTAATAATTGCAGGTTTTCACTGCTCATATATATGCGGGTTCGGGTCGGGTTGCGGATCCTGCGCCGACGGGTCGGGTCGGGTTGCGGAACTAATTGGTAATATGTGCGGGTAGCGGGGCGGGTTCGGTATTGCACGTCGCGGGTCTTGAAAATCAGACCCGTGCAGGACTCTGCCCTGAGACACATGTTTCATTTGATCACGCTATATAAAAAATGTATTTGATCTGGTAAAAAAAATTCCAGTTGCTTAAAATCGCCTGATGATTTGAACTGCCAGCACCAACATCTTGAAAAAGGAAGGACTCCTCCTCACCTTGCTGATCATGGTGGTGAGGTCTCCCCCATTGAGCAGGGGGTTCTGAGCGTCTCCCACTCTAGAGGGATCTTTGAGAGCTTTCTCATTGGAGAAGGTTCTCCACTCTGAGCCGACGTCGATTACACGGTCACCTGAGGAGAGACAATTTAAAGCTATGAAAATACATAAGTAATTAAAGCACAGATGAACCATTTCATATTATTTAAATGTAGAGGTAATAATGTTTCTGATGGGGGCCACAATGCTGTTTTCATCTTTGAAATTGATGCATGGTTTTTGACTCGAGAAACCAAAAAGTAAAAGATATTGAGCTTTTCCTCCTGGGGCCCAACAACATGCTCCCTTTGGATTGATACAGGCCATGTTTTTGTTTTTTTAGGTCAGCTTTTTGTTGATGGCTGCAGCTGATGCTCCATAACAGATGTCATGTTCTTCCTTCATTGATAGAAACAAAGAAATGTAATGCAACAACAAACACTGAGGTGCCCTTTTCAGAAACAACGCCTTGTGAATACAGAATACACACAAATAAAAGAGTTAGTGCGCACAATCTAATGCATTCACTGCGTCCTCCTGTGTGGCTGCGTTACATCCCTCTGGAGTCATTAACAGAAGATGGTGCAATATTCAGCATTATTCCCTCATGCAATTCTGTAGACAGTAACTCAAGTACTGTCTTACCCCTTCCGTACTGACTAATCAGAGCATCACATGCGAATAAACATTATTCTGAATCTAGCTTAACCATCTTACACACCATCCCTTGCCCTTTTTCTTTCTCATGTTCTCATCAATGTATGTTTTGAGACAGAAATACATAATCAAATCAAAACTAATGTCCGATCCTTCAATTGCATTAAGTCGGAGATGTACAAAGGATCCAAGGTGTGACAAAGGCCTGGCATATTGCTATTTATCAAGCCTGCTATTGGCACTGCAGGATTCCATTTGTGATATGTTAATCCGATTAGCTTTTGATATGATGTACAAGTCTTTCTAACGTCTCGAGGCAAAGCAACAGTCATCTCCTGAGAGGAACCGAGGGCTTGCATCAGAGAGAGAGCGGCTGGTGTGTCCCCCATGAATCCCACCCCCCCTGTCATGGGGCTCGTTAGAGGACGACTATTCCCTATAGATTTCTCTTACAGCCTGTATCACATGTTCAAAGGCTGTATTGTAGTACTATGTGCAAATGTATATCGTTTTTTATTTTCTAACGTGTTGCAGTCTTTAAAAACTTATTTTTTCATTTACATTTTTGTATTCTCCTTTTTTATTTCATTCTAAAATGGAGCAAAAGTCATCCCGTGATAAATAAAGATTCTAACTGATTGTTGTTTATATCTGTGCCTGTATGCACCTTCACAACCCTTTGTTAAAACGTTTCACTGATGTTGACCTTGTTTTCCATGTCAGCAGCTGTTGTGTATTTTAATCCTTCATTGAATAAAGCTACTGCTGACTACACGCGCAAGAAACAACATCTAATTAGGGTGACTTGGTAGGGACGCTAGAGGATGGATAAGTATCCATTCCTATTTTGTTCTGCACAACTGTTGACAAGGTCCATAAGAGACGTAGATTTATTATGGCTAGCTTTTCCACATTTTAGTTGCAAGCTTTGGACATTTCTGTCCTTATAGAAAACTCAGCTGATTCAGGACTATTGTAAATGCATTGGCATCCAAACTAAACTCAAGTACAGGAACTGAGAAACCTGTGTGTGATTATCACAAAGATAATAGTTTCATTTAGAGAAGTAAATTCAAAGAAAGAAGCACAGTAAGCCAAAAGGAAAGGAAGGATGTTTTCCAACACCAAAAAACACTTTGATTCATAAGCCAAGTGCACATGTTGGTGAAGTAAATACTGACCTACTACAAGGCCACATTCGGGGCAGATCATGTCCCCTGCTCTGTAGTCCTCCACCAGGATGGCATCAGGGTGGTTGGGACACTGAACTCTGGGAAGGGCGAGGGCATCTCCGCTACAAAAGGCAGAACAACAACGGTTAAGTGATCAAACAGCAAGACACGACAAAGATGGGGAAAGGGAGGACATTGAAGAGAAACAAACAAAGGTTAGGGTTTAAACGGACAGAGCTCATGATGAGGTCAGGACGCAAAACACACATTCATGCTAAAGTCTTCAAAGTTTGGTGACATCTTGCAAATCGAAACTGCATCGGGACATGTTGTTTTCCACTTTTAAATACATATTTGACATAGTATAGATGTATTATTTCACCCTCTTTTGTCTGGCAGACAAAGAAGAAAACAATATAATCAGTTAGTATGAATCCATGATTAATAGTGCCGAAGTCAACATCAAACAACCTAAGGGCAAACAAATAATAGCAGCACAGAAGCATCAGCTTATTTGGAATTATTAAATTACTTTATTAAATTATTATATAGTTTATTTGTATTTATTGTATGAAATGTTAAAACGTAAAAAATGCACATACGTTTTCTAGAGCGGCATCCTTATGACACATGGCTAAATGTGTTCATATAGAGAACATACTTCACATTAAAAAAATCATACAAATAATATGTCTTATTATTGTTGCCTCAGTAGTTGAGGATGAATGACCACGGTGGATTCAGACATAATCAAAACATAATAATGTGTACATGTTGGTTCCTGGGCTATATCCAACAAACAAAACGTCACGATGATGTGGCGATAGAAAAACAGACTTTCCATGGGCGTCAAATCATTACTATCCTGCATTTACTCTTTACAATTGACATGTATTCCCCGACAATGATTGTATTGTCAACACTTATAATGACTTAACGTTTATGTGACAAACTAAGGCAAGAGCTGAAATAGATACGCTGCCGACTAATGTTGAGTAAAAGCTGAATGTAGACAAAGTGTACAGGACAGAGGCATATGTGTTTACAGTTTGCTGGCAGTGACCGCTAGTGTCTATAATAATGCGATTTCACTACCTTTCAGTTTTAGCCTGAAACTACACAATCTCTTTTTGTTGTTGACGACAAAAATGGCGAAAATATCTCTACGATAATAAGTGACGTTAAGGTTTCAATTATTAAAGCCATTATTCGCAATAACGGTGAGAGAAGGGCATAGCGATGAGAAACGGAGATACAGAAAGTGACTTCTGGCTACATCTACCCAGCTAGCTAGCTAATAAAGGTTAGCCGTTACCTAGCAAAACACATCGTACAAACAACGGTACGAATAAGGACGTAATGTTTTTGGAATAGCACTAGCGTCTCCCATCATGTCTAAGTTGATAACCTTTCCAAAGTACATTGTTGGAGTCACACACTAAGAATGGTGAGTTGTTATATTTGGTAAAAGTTGCTACGCACCGGCTTGTCGACGCCATGTCACTCCTGAATGCTCGTCCGTGTCAAATTGAATGCGCCACCTCTATTTATAACTTTGTTTGATCACGTGTCCATTGGAGTACGGGGAGCCATTAGGCTCAAACTAGTCGAATTAACCTCCTGATTGTATAACATTGTTTTGTTGACAAGAAGAGTGTCAAATACTTTTAAACACAACAATTGAAATATCTATGATTATACAATCACGTTTAACATTTGGTAATATTAAAATGTATTTGTACGGATTAATGTTAATAACTTTTCTAAGACATTTCCCGGAAATCAGGATACCTCTCAAAGGTGACATTTTAAAGAGATACAATGCACGCAATACCAGTGACGTGATTATTGAATTACAACAATATGATTAAACCACAATATACGATCCATCGGTAAAGCTTTAGTGACTAAGTCTCTATTTTCCTGGGAAGGAACTCTGATATGTAATGATAATTGAAGGAAGACATTTTAATTTCTTATAAAAAAAAAACAATTCCAACCAAATTACAATGTTATTCATTTTTGATTTATTATTTGAGACTTGATATATTTCATATTTTTGAATTCATCAAATCTCCCAATATTATTTTTAAATGAAGACATTTGATTGATTGGAATTAAATAATAGGAGGTGAACCAACTGTACCCTTTTTCATTATCCATATACACTTTTATGTTTGTGTATCTTTGATCGCCTGTGTTAATGATGTAGAATATAAAATATATAATTATATGGACATGCCAAACAAAGCAATTATTACCAATCAAACCAGCAAAGGTATAAAGTAACAGAGAAAAATGCAAACCCATTATTGGATAAGCAATAAAAACAACATCATTTATTTCAATTTCTTATAACCAAGTTATATCAATGGGCAATTCAAATATCTGTAATGCAACAATAAACCCCACAAGTGATCCTAAGTTGTCTACTGATGAGTCACAATGCTGCTGTGATTTTGCTGTTGACAGTGGCAGCCTGTGTCTCTGTACCAATCTGTGACTGCTCTCTGCATCATACTTCCAAGTCTGTGAAGGAACCAAACAGTGCCACAAAGACTCACTTGATCTTAGTTGTTTTGGTAACAGAATGACCAATCTACATTAATTAAATAATTTCAGTCATATAAACATGAATTACCTAATACTTTAAGGTATGTGTGGAAACATTTAGGCTATACTCTTGTTTCTCTTTACCTATTTTCTTACAAATCTTCTTTGAATACTGGAATAATCTGTTCTTACGCATATCATTACCTCATCAGTGTCAGTGAAAAATGCCAGTGTGCGTCAAGACAACAGCAGGTGGAGCCAGATAAATAAGAGTGTGTCAGGCTCTGCAGTGACACACTGGATGATGGTTACAGTGATTCGCTTTCATGCTTTACTCATTTATCGTGATCTCTTTCAGGGGGGAAACATATAAGGATTCTTACATTTCAGGTCATATTTATTTGAATAGTAAAATTAAAATGATCCTAGCCCAGAGTATAGACACATTTTGCTGCATATACTGTAGGCATCATCTTGGCAGTTAAAACCACAGTTTTAAGACAACATGGCTAAATAAAAGTAACTTTTTCAGATTCCTTCAGGTACGCCACCACATAAACAGTGCTATGTTAGAAAATCAGAAGGCGTTTGAAAACAATACTGAACGTTTTTATTTGTGCATATCGTACAGATTCAGGGCTCAACGTGATTTCAAGAATATATAAGGGACTCCAGGAGACTATTGTGAATTCCAATGGAGAATCTCCTCCTCATGGAGAGCGTTCGCCTGGAAGAGTCCAGGGTTTCCCACACATAGACTATACTTGGGCGGGCCGCCCAGGTATATTAACGGCCGCCCAAGTATATTTCGCGTTTGAGAGGGTAGTGATTAGTAAAATATGCATGAATAAATAAATAAAAAGTTAACTAGGTGAAAAAAGGTAAGATACACTTTTAAAACTTGTTGAGAGCTAAAAACTAGTCTTTGCTGCTGCCTCAAAGAGGAGATGAGGGAGAGGAGGGAGACAGGAGAGGCTGACTCAGGAGCAAAGACACACTCACAACTATAAATGAACCAAAAATTAATTAATAAACAAGTTTCAGTGTTTTTTTCATATTAGAAATGGGATGTTATTGGTTATGGCCATGATTTTATGATTATTGAAATGTATACAGTTCTGTTTAATATAGGTGTTTCCATAGATCTATAGTCTCTTTATTTCCCCCTCAAAATGCACCAGATTGATGCATTTAACTTAAAATCACATTGATAGCTTCCTAAATACATTTATTTTTTTAAATAGTAACCCATTTCCATATGTTTATGTGTGGGTAGTAGATTTAAACTATAGGGCTATCACCATGGGCCCTTCCTGTACCTGTTCGCTCTGCCATCGCGTGAAGGGTCCGCTAACAAGCGCTACCACCACCCCCCCAAGTATATTTCAGATCTGTGGGAAACACTGGAGTCTCACTAGATTTTTGATCACGCTCGCCCAGCAGTCTCACCATGGAGAGGAGGCTGCTGGAGGAATGTTTAAAAAAAACACGTGCTCTGGGATTTCCCAATAGTAAACACTTTTGGGCATAAGGTTTATAAAGAAATTGTCAACATATTTGGAACAAAAACTAATTTTAATTGGGACGAACTCCTCTTCGCTTTCCTGCTCTCAACAGCCGCAAATATTAAAACAAAATACTTATTTGGGATGTTGAGTGTCGCTGCCAGGAAAGCAATCTGCAAACAACAATAAATGGCTCAAACAAAACAGCCCATCAATAGATGATTGGTACGATATGGTTTATGAAATCTAATGGAAAGAATAACTTTTTCTATGAGGCTCCAGGAACTTAACATATGGAATTATATTGTGAGAAAATCCTATACAGTGACTTCACAATACACACTATTTTTTGAATTGCTAGAAAGCATGTCGTCATCAAGATACGAAACGATATGTATCCATAATGTATGTCAACAACCGAATAGTGAACTGTTTCTTTATGTGACAGTAAAAAATCTCCTTCTTAAACAAGTATATAAAAAGCCTATAGAATAAGCTTAGAAATGTATCTACACAAAGCTGAAAACAGGCTTTTTTTTGGTGAAACTCGTGACAAATCAACTCTTTAGACATACATGGTTCTCACAGCAATGCAGTAAAGATAACAACATATGAGGACCTTATTTAATATGATGCATTGCTGTTGATTAAACTGCCTAACAGTAAATGAAAGCGTTGAAATATGTACAACCATGAACATGTACAGTATATCAATCAACATACACATGAATGCGGAAGTATTTTTGAACTAGAATCATCATAACACACTGACAGGGAACATTTGACTGCAATGAATGCTTTTACTTGAATACTTGAGGAACAACAGTGCAGATACTTTTATTCAAGTAAAGTTTGTAATGCAGGACTTTGAATTGAAGTAGAGTATTTTTTTCAGAGTATAAGTATTTCTGCTGCAGTAGTATCTTTATACTGATTAAGAAACAATGTTTAAGAAAAGATGTGCACCACAAGCTATTCTTTTTTTGTCTCTTTTTTACTCCAACTGATTCTCGTCTGAAAAGTGTCCCTGAAAAGTATTCATTTTTCACATATCTTTAACGCACGTTTTCGGAAACTGATGACGTGGAACCTTTCCTGGACTGTGGAAAATAAAAGTTGCATATGTAGTTACAAGTCACAGCATGACAGACATATCAAAGGCAATCCAAACAAAATGAGGGCATGAAGAGGCCTGCTATCCAAGCAGGAGAGGAGTAGCACATGTTCTCAGTCTCCGTATTTGTCTTTGTCTTAAACACACATAAACACACACTCTGTACTCAGCAGCTGTTTATTGGTTTTCCAACAGCAACATCATATCACACCACATCATTGCTCTTCATCACTCTTACTGTATTTCAAGTAACAACAATGGATCCACATGCAGGAACAGCCTGCGTGCAGGTCTGGAGTTTGTGTGTAATTTGACACATACACACCAACACACATACACACAAACTCAGTGTTTATTTTGCCTAAAGGAAATAAATGACCAAAGAAACAGGTTTGTTTGGGTTTGTGGACGGTTAGTGGCTGGTATGAATTTGAATTTTACTGTGTATTTTTTGTTACATCACAAGTGTATATCCGGTATGCATTTAAACCACCAGCTAATGTTTGTGAATGTGACACTACCCTCTGTACTCTTTACAAATCAGAGAGGGAGGTCCACACTGAATTATTTATATCTCAATGGGCCAATTCTTAACGCACTGAGCTGGTTGCCAGGGGCGTTTGGGGTCCCCAGCTGTTGGCCCTGTCTCCCCACAGACAGGAAACCCCATACTGTCCGACCACTAGACTGCCAGTCAGTGTGACAACAAACCAAAGCATTCCCTCTTTACACCGTTTCTCTTCCCCCCTCACCACACCGACCATATGTCCTTCCACAGTCAGGTAAACTAGGTTAGGAAACAGAATCAGTGTCTATAACAATTGTTATTATGGCTGCTACCTTTTTTTTGCACCATTTGATCCTGTAACAACACTGTTGTCAAATAACACCTTGCATTATAAATGTTTTCCTATTTACTGGTGTTATTTGGCTCTTCATTACTTATATATATATGTTTCAACTACTTCTATAATGATGCCGATTATTTCTTCTTAATTGTATTTGTTTGATTTGATTTGATTAATATGTGCATGCCTCTTTATTTAAGGGTGCTATATTCTGCTCATGTTCAGGTTTATATTAGTATTTAGTGTCTCTGCTGTGACATGTCTCCATGCTTTAATGTTCAAAAAGCTCGGAGGCCATTGAATCAATTAATATCAGCATTTATCATATCAAAGGGTTGAACTTCTGATAAAGAAGAGGGGTTTAAGCAAATGACAGAGAATTTGCCCTTTTTAGGTACATCTCATATTTTAATGATAAAGGCTAAAGGTATCCTTTTCAATGACTTTATATATATAGGCAAGCCAAATGGGCTCTTCATTTCTTATCCCCTTTCTCCTGCTTTGGCTGCACCAGACACTTTGTTTTGTTTCAAGGTTTGATATGTTGC